GCAAATAAGGACCCTAAAACAGGGCCGGCTCTACCATTTTTGCTGCCCCAAGCACACACACAAAAAAAAAAACTCCCCGAACTGCCGAAGGAAAAAATAAAATAATAATAAAAATGCTGCCCAGACTCTGCCGCCCCAAGAATGGACGGAATGCCGCCCCTTAGCATGTGCCGCCCCAGGCACGTGCTTCCTCCGCTGGTACCTGGAGCCGGCCCTGCCCTAAAAGGAGAAGGGGGGAACCCATTCCAACCTCCCAACTTTTTAAAAACCCTTTTGAAGAAATGAAGAATGCAGGAACCACTTGAATTCACAACCAGTTCCTGCTCCTTTTCTGCTTGCTAATCTACATCTGGCTTGGACCAAATACTCACACAACCCTCCCACCCACAAAAAAACCCCAAAATTGCTAATCCCATGACCAGATTCTTCAGCTCTCCCAATGGCAACAGATTGCCTGTCCTTGCTCATGTGCCTTTCTCAGACCTGCCAGATGTACTGAGCCAAAGACAGTGAGCAAAGGACGTGGAGTGGAACCCCCAAGTCTCAATCTTCCACACCTGCTGCAGACAGGTTCCAGGGATCAGTGCAGATGCAGTTAAGCACAAGGGACAACGTTAATTTAGCACTTCATTTGGAGGTCAGGGGAGGGCAAGAACACATGAGCCCTGCAACTTGGTTGCGGGGGAGAGCAAGCAGATATTAAAAAGTTGGGCAAGGGGTTGAGTAACATCTGTGCTGCCAAGTTGTCTGGATACGCATCCCAGCCTGTGAACAGAACCTACTGGGGCAGGAAACACACGTGGTATACAGCCAGCAGGCAGGCCAGAGTGTTTGAACTCAGGTGCCTGGAGTTATGAAAATCAGGCCTCTTTTATTATGGTGCCTAAGTAAGAGCAGCTGCTCTCAGGAACCCCCCTGAAGACCAGACCACAGGGGTTTAGGCATCAGAGTTTAAACATTATGACCGGAGTGGGCATTCATCCATTCATCCCATTTGGTTCATGCAGGAGAGCTGTATACATCCCACTAGTTAAAGTCCACATTGGGAGGTGCAGGGAAAGGAAGGTGACTATGTTAAAGTGCCATTTAGTTTCCATTTAAGCTTAGTGGGACCCACTCGTGCCATTTTTTTTTGAGTCACCTGCTCTTATGTGTCATCCCTAAAGCCCCAGCTCTCGGATTCCGGGGAGTCTGAGAACATGAGCGCTTTAAAAAGCATGAGGCACAGTATGTTTCTAGCCCTGCCGTGACAAGCAGGAAAATGTGAAGATCCTCAAAGGCTCAACGCCAGTTGATCCCCCCCCCCCGACGTGTAACCCAGTCCCATGACTTCGGACGGGGTTTGTGATCCTCCCCAGCCTCTAATCCGCTCCCTGCACCGGCTCCGGGCTGGGACAAGGCACCGGAGCGAGCCCCCGGGGAATCCGGCACTCGCCAGCGGAGGCGGGAGAGAGGAGCCAGCCCGCCCCGGAGGAGGGCAAGGCAGGGGACAGGGGTGCTCTAGCCACCGCGCCTCTTCGGAGGCCTCCCCGGGGGATCAGCTGATTGCCAGGGGCCCACGTGGGGCGCTTTGCCCCCAGCCCCGGGGCGCTGTGAGAGCCCCCGCCCCGCTCCGGCTGCCCCGCCGCTACTCACCCACATACAGCACCCGCTTGGTGGAAGCCATCTTCCCGCCCCGAGCCCTCCCCTTGCCCCGGAACCGCACCCCGCGCCCCGCCTGCAGCCCGGCTCGGCCCGCCCCTGGCGAGACACGCGGCGGAGGCGCCGCAGCAGCTGGGCGGTCTCCGCGCTGCTCCGCCGGGGCCCTTCACGGGCCTTCCCCGGCTCTGGGGGCAGGAATTAGCCCGTGCGAGACGCTGGAAATCTCCCCCGTCCTGTAACAGCGAGCGCCGCTGCTGCCCGTTTCACTCACAAGCCTGCTCGGCCAGCTCGTTGTGGGTGTCGGGGGGGGGGGGATTAATAGGTGACCCCAGACCCAGCTTTCTGCATGGAGGGGTAAGAGGCACAAGGCTTCATTCACAGCAGCGCCCGTGGCAAGGAGCCCCAGCGGTTTAGGTTAACACAGGGGTGTGACTTGATCACAGTCTGTAAGGAGCTATGTGGGGGACAGACATGGAATACTGGGCTCTTCAGTCTAGCAGTGAAGGTACAACACATAACCAGATCCAATCGCTGGCCGTTCATAGATTCATAGATTCTAGGACTGG